TACGAAGACTCGTTATAACGGATAGTGTATTGGATTTGGTGTCAAAGTTGGCGAGAATTCAAACCATTAGACTCTATGGGGACGAGAATCTCAGTGATACTGCACTCGAGAATATTCGTGAGAATTGCGGCAAAATTATTGACATTTCTATTAATGATAAAAATATATTTACAAATTCAGATGTTATACAATAAGTTTTTATTAATACTTAAAGTTATGTAGTTATTCCTACTTTAATTGACTGATTATTAGTAAGTAAAATATTATTAATTTTAAGGTCAACGTTATTTCTATTATTATATTTAATGTGTGTTTAAACTGTGGTTTATATGCAATTACATGTAATTTATTGTCCACTGAACTCATATTTATGTTTATGGTTTAGCTATAATTTATAGCATATTATGGTTTATAAATTATATGTTTGCCAAACAAATACAGTATTAAACTAATGCTAATTGTATTATCATTGAAATAAAGGTATTTTAGGAAAATAAATGTTTTTATTAATACTTATACTTTATTACAGTATGGAAATATTTGTACTTAAGATTTACATTAATGCTAATATTAATACCGTAGAATATATAATATTTATTTTTTTCTAAAAATTTCCAAACAATTGCTAAATTATGGTGTGTACTTATAAAATGATGTTTATTATCATTATTTAAATTATACATAATTATTTATATACTGTATATTAATAATATACATAAATATCTAAAATTATTTATAATATTATAATTCTAGGTACAGTATATTACAACTACTTTATTTAATACTATTAATATTTATATTCAATACAGTTATTTATTGGATATAAATTTAGTACATAATAAATACTTATAACTTGCAAATTTTTGCTTTATTTATAAAATATTTTCGTATCTACAGTATTGCTAAAACATGGATTTAATTACAATGCTAACTAAGTTTGATGTCATATCACGTGTATATCACATATCTTTTGGGCGTAAAATACATCAAAAGTACTCAAAATTAAGTAAATTTTTATTGACCTACTATTTAATGACTACTATTTTTGATACAATCAAATTCATTTGTATACCCGATAATGAGACCTTATTACTCGCTAAGTATGGCTCTCATGGATACTATTTTGGCGATAATAGTACCAGGTTCATGTACGACATGAGCATTATATCATTCAAATACATAGTACTTTGGAATTTATATGACTACCACCTCATAAGCAATCAATGGATACATAAAGTCAATGATATGTACAATGAGTTGAGAACCGATAAAATGGATATTTATTTACGAAAACTATCGAAACGATTAATAAAAATCCTAAAAATAAACTCATTTTTAGAGTTATTCCTGGGAGTGGTGGCAATGCAATTTGGCTGGCTCATATTGAAAAGTAACATGTTACACAACTTTGGCTTTATCTATACATACCTGGACGGAAAATGCATCTTAATTGTCGGCATTACGCTAAGTATGCGAAATATTTTTGTCCACATTTTCGTATCCTTTAAATATTGGCAAATGTTTGCCGATTTAAACGACTCGATGAGAGGTATTGGCAAACAATCGGTGAAAGCATTGCTTATAAGACATTACAAGACATGCGATTCACTCGCAAACGCCAATCAGTACTTCAGATACCATTTCGCGGCACTGGTAGTCGGTTTCGGACCAATGAGTTGTCATATTATTTATTTGTATTTATATGACCATGGTCGATCGCCATTAATTCACGTGGCGTTCACTACGAGCTTTATGTTCATTGCATTGCTTGTATTTTTGGCTATAATTAGCGCATTGATTGATATCGAGGCTAAAAAGGGTTTGCATTTTATTCATGGGTTTGCATTCAAGCAACTGACCATGGCACAAAAATCTCAGGTAAAGTCGCGTTAAATTTAAATTGATTTAATTGATTTTTAATAATCAATACAATACTATTAATTTTAGATAAAACTATACTTCAATCGCGTATTGAAGTCAACGATTGGTTTAGAGATATTAGAGAAACCCATAAATATCGAGAATATTCTGAATGTAAGTTATTTTTATTTACAAACATTATTATATTTAATGTTTTAATTTATTTCACAGATTATAACACTTACGATGACTTACTTCTCAATACTCGTTAAATACAAGGGATTGAAATATTTTTAAATTATCAGTATTAATAAAATAGTTAGCTAGATATTTTATATTATCCATAATCTATACCTTATACACCCCGTTACGAAATGATAGACTCAAGATATAAAATTGAATAAAATCTAAACCAGTAGAAATATTTCTTTAAAATTTTATATGTAATTAAAATATTTATTCGGAATTAATTTTTGTAGGTTTGAACTTTTATTGAGCACCGGTATGTTAATAACGTGTCAATTACTAAATACAGTCCAAGAAAATCGTTACGAAATGATAAACTCAAAGCGCGTGTAATAATGCAGTAATGATAATCAATGGGAAAGTAATGCCATTGAAAAACAATGTAAAATAGAAGTGTATGTTGTTTTCTTAAGGGAAAGGCATCTAATATTAGAATTTGTTTATAAAAATACTATAATTTGGAAAGTTTATGAAATGTAGTTTCATTTGATATAAGAATTAGTTTAATTAAATGCTAAATAATTAGCAGGTTGGTTTCTAAAGTTATATCAACAAAAGTTCTTATGTTTTCAATGTTAAAAGTGCTTAAAAAGTTTATAAGTTTTTTGAATAAACTTTCTACCTATTATTTAGCATTTAATTAAACTAATTCTTATATCAAATGAAACTACATTTCATAAACTTTTCAAATTATACTATTTTTATAAACAAATTCTAAAATTATATGCCTTTCCCTTAAGAAAACGACATACACTTCTGTTTTACACATCCATTTACTTTCCTACTGGCTGGGGGTTGTCTGTATTGGGGTGCATATGTAGCACTGGTAAGTGTAACCACTATACTAATAAGGGTGCGAGAGGTTTACAGGAACCACATACCAAACTTGTATATCAAGTGTTATTACCTGAGAGATCCCACATCCTGAGTAGTACCCTCTTGACATTGATTGCAATTTATTAAGCAATGTATTGTCAATGCATTTCTATAACAATTTAAGTATCAAAGCTACTATAATATTGCAATTTATTGTGCATATACTGTACAGTATGTCAATTATATGTGAAAACCTAATTCCTAATGCTATTTACTGTTAGTGATAGTACGGTAATATGTAAACATGATAAATTATCAGGATGACACTATCAAACTGTCATTTATATAATAGGCCTTCAAATTGGTGTTTAAACTGTAAACAGGACTGGCCTTCCAGTCCCATTGAAGGACGTGTTTTTCAATTGATTACTACTTTAATAGCATTTACGAGTCAATTATATCAATATTATAAACACTGTGTTACTCTAAATAGGTGCAACCACTCGTAAATATAATTTAATGTGAATTGTACATGCATGTAGCTCAGTTAAACATTCATATTATTTACACGAGCACATTTCTTTAAATAATTACCAAGTACTAGTAATATTTTTAAAACTCATAAAACATTTTGACTTTTAAAAGTAATAGTATTATTGTTTATTATTAATAATTTTTAAATGTGTTTTTAATTATAATTACAATGGTGAAATATATTAGTTAAAAATGAAGTTATCATTGCACGTGAAAGTCATACGACTATTACTGCACAAGAATTGGTTAATCCGTTCCCACCATAAGATGCCATTCCTATTGCTATTCATAATTCCCATTTGTTTTACTATATTAACCCTCCAGTTAAGTGTCATTAAAAGGGACAGGTATTGGAGTACCGGTGGTGGTAAGCAAATACTCAACTCATCGATAAAAGCTATTTATTTTAATCGCCAAAAAATCATCAATGAACCTATATATTCCGGACCGTGTGTTTATAGGAATCAGATTAATAACATGGATTACCTGGATATAGTCTATTGCCCTAATAATAGCTACACGAATACGCTTATGGAGAGAGCGGGTGACTATTTCGCCACAAAATATCGGCACAGGTATGAGGAATTCATATGAAATTACTATTATATTATATTATATATAATGTATATTATACTATAATAATTAATATTTTAATGAAATATTTTATAATCAATTAGAGTAAATAAACTGAATAGTTGAATATATTTGATAGCCACATAGTTAGGAGTCGTGTAGACTTACAGTTAGTATTATATAAGGTCGTTCACGTGAATATAATTCTAGCAAAACTTTAATAAGTTTTTTGTTATGAGTCCTAGCCAAAATCGGTAAAAAGTAATTTAAACGTCTATTTAATGCAGTTCTTATCCAATTAGTTAATATTTATAAAAAATTTTAAGTCATTAAAATTACGGGACAAACGCAAAGGTCATATGCACAGGTCAGACCAAAGGTCATAGGTCAAAATAGTTAAACACATCTTGAAGAGCAATAAATAAACTTTCACTTAAGCTATTGTTCATAAAAATCTAATTGTTTATAGAGCCAGGGTGATATAAAATGTGACATAGGATTTCCCATACTAATGACAAAAATTTTGGAAATGATTGAATATTAGTATCTCAATATATGCCACCAATAGTGCAAATACTATATATGAAAGAATTTTAAAATTATTCCAATTAATTACGGAATGGCAACGTTTTTAAATTTTTGATTAATGCTCAATAAAGGACAAAATCCAGAATATTCAAACCTCTGCTATTCTGTTATTGATTTGAATAAATTTAAAATTCTTTCAAATATATTATTTATCCTATTAGTCGCATATATTGAGATACTAATATTCAGTCATTTCCAAAATTTTTATCATTAAAGGTTTGCTAGAATTATATTCACGTGAACGACCTTATATATCAAATTTTATAAAGAAATATGCTATTTTGTTACCAGGATCATTCGTGCAATTGCTGTAAATAGCGAGCAAAACATGAGTTCATTTATTAGTCGTCAAGTACTCGAAGAGAAACGACAAATACGGGGTTTTATAGCCATTGATTTCGGTGCTGATTGGCACCGGGGACAGGTAGATGCTAATGGGGCCCAACCACCAGAGCACCTACACTACTCATTGAGCATCAAAGGCGCTGAATATAATAACGGCGAGGATTATGATCACCGCTTAATCCAACCTAAGGTGCTAGTTTACCTAAAATATGATAATTACCGCAATCCGTACGACATTTACATTGAGTCGTGTTTTTGCAAAATACAAGTCGCTATAGATTTGGCGCACATTTCACTCGTGAGTAACACGAGTGTCGATAATATCGATGTTTATCATCAGTTCATGCCATTACCCGTGAACTATATCAATGAAAATACACTTTACATCCGGGAAAACCTATATTATTGGGCAATTATTATCATACTATTCGCGCTGTTAGTTATGCTACCGGTGTCTGTCAAACGTATTGTGGAGGACAGACAGACACGGATTACGGACTACTTATTTCAATTAGGAATCTCCAGAGCCCACCACTGGATCACTATTATCATAGACTCCCTGACCGTTATCGGTGTCCAACATCTCATAATTACATTAATAATCTATTTCTATGGACTTCTGCCCGGAGTCTCATTCACATTATTCTCAGTGTTTTCGCTATTATTTCTCATTCAATGCATACTATTCGCTGGATTTATATCCGTATTCTTCCGGAGCCCTAATATAGCAGTCATTGTAACCATAATTACATGGATTGTCTCATTCGCCATACCTATCAGCTATTTATTTGGAATGAAAGGCAAAGAAACCCCGGTGCTTGTGTTTATGGACATTGAGACCATATCATGCCTTTTGCCTAATTGTGCCCTATTTTGGTTCATTCATATATCTATGGGATTGCATATGAATGAAAAGGCCGGCGCCAATTGGTCTAACATTTTAGTACCTGGATATATATTGGATGAGATGACTATAAGTCACATATTTTTATTAATAGTAATCTCTTATATAATATATGGACTATTGATTTGGTACTTATCGTCAGTCATACCATTCAAACACACAATTAATAAACCATTTTATTTTCC